GCGCCGCTAGCTCCCTTCCTACTCCTTCTTCCTCTACGCGAATGGAGCATCTGGAAGCTATACACAAACTTTAGTTGGCCAAAATGACAACACAGAAGCTGATGACGATGGTGAGGAACGACAGCGACATCATCAACCGTGGTGCGTCGATACCGCTCGAGACAACGATTACGGAAGTTGATGGTGGTGGCAACGATGATGGCTCCTCGGCTACAATCTACGGCAGATCTGGAGATCTCATTCTCGACGGCGGGAAGGACTTCACCGTCGAACTACGGATGGAGCAGAGGCGGCGACGATACGATCCAAAGTCGGAGGCCGGAGTGGACATCGGCTGTTCTTTTCACAACGACTGTGACTGATCTAGGGGACGCCGAGATTGGAGAGGACAGCTGCAGAGAGAGACCGCAAACGGCCACGACATGAGCCTTGAATGGCCGTCGACGCTTGAATCGTTGATTGAAATCACGTCGTCGATTTGAGATACTAGGTTGACGGCGTGGCACGATCTCCGACCTGCTGCTGGGTTCCCCTTGACGATGACGGACTGGCGAAAGTGGAGACAGGAGCGGATCGATGCTGGCGGCTCATCCGAAGGGTGACTAGACGATGACGGCAGGGACGATGATGGCGGATCTAGAAATCTGGCATTGCCAGCGATGACGGCGATGCGGGCTCTGGTAGCGAAGCCAGGATGACTGAGCCGGCGAACGACTGTGACTGAATGAAGGTTGATTGATCGGTCACCTTCATGGAGTTGACTGGGGATAGCATCGTCGCCCTTAGGAGAAGATGAATCCGGCTGGTGGAGGGGACCGGCGAACTGGACGGAGCGCCAGAAAAGACGGCAGCACTCCTGCTGAATGAGACTTCTGGACGGCGCTAATATTTGGACGGACTCGGCGGCGGATCTGAGACTTACAGGCAGATGCGAGGCCACCTTGGAGATTACGGAAAACAAGACTTGATTGTAGGCCTTGACGGAGACGGAAGCCACTGACTTCTTCCGCTTCTGTTCTTGTTATCGCCAGGACGAATAATGTTGCCGGAGAGGCAACAGATGCGGATTGCGAAAGCTCAAAACCCTAGACAGGGGATCAAGTCTCGCTCTGATACCATGTAGAATTTGATAATGCGGAATTGGAACAACACACGAGACAACGATTTTACGTGGTATCCTCGATCGATTGATTGATCGAGACTAATCCACGGCGAGCTCATAAGAGCTCACGGCTGATCTCTTATTAGGATTACATCTTGACGGCTTGCTATCACACAAGTCGATAGCTAAGCTTATATAGATAAACTTAGGGTTAAAACCCTAATCCAACGAATCAAATGTGGCCCAACAAGGCCCAATACTAAACACGGTTTAAGTAACCGCAACAATTGAAGCTCAGGAATCAAGCTTGGAGATGTAGATTGAAGATCTCGATCAGATTTCTGCAGCCTCTCTCTTCTCTATGGAGTAACTTCCCTTCACTTAGTTTTTGAGGAACCCTAGTTCCATGTGTTAGGATCTTTCTTGTATGAAGTTTTGGATGCTATATTGTTTGATTATAATCGATTGAGGCATGATTTATTGATTCAATTGAATCTTGATCAAATTCTTTTGATTTCTGCTTTGACCTATGATAGATAGAATCTGATTAGGTTAAGAGAGCACTTGATTGATAGTGGTGAATTGGTTGTGCGAGAGTCAATCAATTCACTGCTTTGTACTGGAATCCATTCCACTAGGGGAGATTTGTGTTTATTGCCTCAGCGGTCTATCTCGGTGAAGGCTAGTCACCAGCCGGGTATTCTGTCTAAGAGGGCTTGGTCAATTTAAGAGATTCCAAGCTAATTTAGGATCTTCCGCAGTTTAATCAACAGTAGATCAACCAAAGGTAATTGCAACTTGGACCTAATTGAGGAGCTAGGGGGAATCATACCTAAGTGAGTTCCCAACTTGTAATTAGTAAAGTAGTTTAGTAAATCAATCCTTAATCTAGTTTGCTAGATAATGAACTGAAGCTGAGTAATTGTAACTCTAGAGACCCGTGGATTCGATATTTATTACTTGTGTCACTATACTGCAGTCCCTTTCATTGGTTACACTTGGCCATTGTTAGGCGTTGTGTCGTAGCGTGTCAAGGACTATATCGTATGTATATAATTTTAATGGGTGTCATTAATTAGTAATTATAATTATAAATAAATAATTATTTTTTATCGTCGTAAATAATGATCGTTAGATGAGATCAACGGTGAAAAATCTGACGTATACTATACGCCTGACATACACCAGTCGTCACCATATATATATATGGTGGCTTCTATCGTACCTTGGGTAAAATGTAGGGTACGACATAAAAATACTATCTAGACCTCAAATTAACCAAGTTTTTGGGCATGCTACTATACCCTAACCCTTGATGATTGAACCCTAGGTCTTAGTTTTCTAAATCAAAGAGCCTAATCCCTAAGATTGTGCTTGTAATTTGTTGCATATATTTCGACAAATCATAGCCGTTGATTTTTGTTTCTAATTAAATTGATCTAGTGTATGAGATTTATAGAACTAAGACCTAGATTTTAATCCTTAAGGGTTTGGGAATAATATCATATGCCAAACTATGCTTAATTTGAGGTCTATATATAATTTTCTTACTCAATTGATTTTACCCAAGGTACGATAGAACATCCCATATATATATATATATGGGGAATTCTACGGTACCCATGGTGAAATCCTAGTTACCGCATACCTTGAGTAAGAAAACGATATCCAGAACCTGAATTGATTGATCTTTCGGACATGATACTATAATCTAACCCTTAAAGATCAAAATCTAGGTCTTAATTCTCTAAATCTTATTCGCCAAGATCAATTTAATTAGAAACAATAATCGACGGTTATGATTCGTCCAAATATAGGCAAAAAAATCAATGCACCATCTTAGGGTTTATAGTTTAGATTTAGATAATTAGGACATAGCGTTCACTCATTAAGGGTTAGGGTATAGTATCATGCCCAAAAATCCTGCTAATTCGAATTCTAGATAGCGTTTTCATACTTACGGTGAAATCGGGGGTATCGCATACCTTGATTATGGAAACGGTATCTAGACCTCGAATTAGCAGGATTTTTGGGTCTGATACTATACCCTAACCCTTAATGAGTGAACCCTAGGTCCTAATTATCTAAATCATAATCTATAAACCTTAAGATGGTGCATTCCTTTTTGTGCCTATATTTGGACGAATCATAACCGTCGATTATTCTTTCTAATTAAATTGATTTTGGAGTAAAAGATTGGGAGAATTAAGACCTATATTTTGATTTTTAAGGGTTAGAGTATAATATCATATCCGAAAGATCGGTCAATTTAAGGTCTAGATAGTATTTTCATACTCAAGCTATGCGATACCCCGAATTTTTCCCAGGTTACCGTATAACTCACTCCCAACTTTTCTCATTCCCAACTTTTCTTCCATATTAGATAATTAGAGGTTTTTTTTTGGCTTTTTATGAGTGAACTCTTTGTTTCGTCTACAATTATAACTCAACATTATTTCCATTATTTTTTGTTTTATTATGTATCATGTATGTGTCTTTATTTTTATTGTTTTTAACTTTTAGTATTTTGGCTCACTTAAGGTCAAATTAATAATTCACGGTCTCACACCCATGATTATAGATTTATTTTTCTATACTCGCAGATAATAACTACGCTATCTGCCGCTCCCGCCGCGCAGCGCAGGTTTCCATACTAGTGTACGTAAATTGCAATTGAAGTAGTGAGTTGAAACTTTAGAACCAAACTCCAGTAAATTGAAACACAGAGCACAAACTTACTAAGGGGTCGTTTGCTTCAAGGATTTGGTACATGGATTTGGTACCAAAAAACCAACTATCAAGGATTTAGGTACAATCCGTTGTTTGCTTGCACCTTTTTTGGAGACCAAATCCGTGGGGCCCACGGATTTTAAGGGTCCAAATCCATGGACCCCACGGACTTATAAATCTCACATGTTGATGTGGGATTTGGAATATGACATAAATCCTTGATGAGATTTTACCCATATACCCACCCTCATGCACTTTTAATATTCCAAGGTTGCCCTCAAATTTAACTATTATACATTATAATTAACAATAAATGAATAATATAAACGTTCAATTAATGTGCAAACATGAGTTAGATTTTTTATATCATTTCTTGTGTTCTAGTTTTCTTTGACCTTTTCATGGAACGTGTAATTCTTTGTTCTCCCGATTCTAATATATGTTGTTATATGTTACTTTTGAAAAGAAGGACAAAGAATTGATAATTGATTATGTTACGTTAAAAGTTAAAGCGGAATTTTCTCGTTTATTATTATTGTTCATGTGGCAACATTATGCTTATTAGTATGTATTGTCCTTATTTTGTGTACATATCATAAACATGTCAAACATATAGAAAATGATAGTAAGGTAATTTTGAAGTTTTGTCCTTGTTTTGTGTACATATCATAAACATGTCAAACATATAGAAAATGATAGTAAGGTAATTTTGAAGTTTTGTCCTTGTTTTGTGTACATATCATAAACATGTCAAACATATAGAAAAGGGCAGTAATGTAATTTTTTACTTCAAGTAGCAAATCCCACACCTTTAAATCCATGATAAAAACATCTCAACAAACAAAGGATTGTTACAAATCCATGATGCCTCAAATCCTTGATAAATCCTTGGGTTTTTAAATTATAAAACCCTCATTTTTAAATCCATGAAACAAACGACCCCTAACAATATAGTTCTGGTTTTGGTGTCCCACTTGATGGGAGTCCAGAATGCAAGTCCATGACGTTTTATAGTCATCCATTAAACCATCAAATATAACCAACAATAAGCGAAAAAGAAGAAGAAAAAAAAAAGGAGAAAATTACACCCACACTGTTTAATTGCAACAAATCACATCTTAATCTTTGTGCTGCCAGCCATTTCCAATGTCGCCAATCGTAAACTTGGCTAGCAAGTAGAATTGAGAATGAGGTCGAAAGCCCTTTGGATGCAAGACTTGAGCTTGTTGGGATCTATGAAACCCTTCTCCGTTCCTATGGACACTCTCATCTGTCCCATGTAGCTCACCATCGTGATCGTCAGATTCTGCAATCAATGTTCCAATACAAAAATTTATGGCTAGCAAAGCAGCTCAACTACTTTTGGCTTGTTTTCTCTCTTATGACATATTCAATATACAGATTCCCCCGTTTGCACCATTTCAAACAAAGGTCAGTCAATTTGTAAGACCATTTGTTCGTAGAACCAGTTAGTTCCAATAGCTCAAATTGTTGAAAGAGGTTCTTGTACGAAAGAAGACGAACGGAAACGCGAAAAAGGGAGGTACCTGAGGGTTGCCAGCAAGCAGAAAGTAGAGGCCTTTGACGTGGTGATCCGCGAGAGTCATTTTCTCTGTAGGACCGATCATGTTGGTGATTGCCATGCTTGTGTTCTTCACTGCCCAATACACGTAACTAGATGCTGCCTGCAAGTGCAAGTGCAAGTGCAGGTCACAACATTCAGTTAATCGTTCCTCTTTTGTCCTCTTCTTTTGACCATCGGAGTCATTGCTTGTTTCGTTATTTCTTGTGTCATAGATAAATTACTTATGTAAAAAAAAAAAACACTCTTTGTATTTTACCTTACAATGAAAATGATTAATTTTCGAAGTGGAACCAGAAAGTTTCGAATTATGGACCCCTCTTCACAAGAAAATAATTTTACCTTTGAAAAACCAAAATTACATTTGATTATCTTTGGACTCCACTTAACTATATTTTCTGTCTATGTTAATGTGTGTTGATGGAATCCTGGTCAGAAACTGTGATTGGATTAACCTTCTACTATGTTTTCTAGACACATGGTTTTAGGGCTGGCTATTTGGTCCGGGTTATTTGGTTCTACCCAAAATCTGACCATATAACTCGGACCGAGACCTGATCGGAACCGGATAGCAAACAATTCAATCCAATTTTTGGGTTTAGATTTGAGATGAAAAACTGTTTGGGACCGGATCGAAAACCGGATAAGAAAGCTCAACACCCAAAACTTAACCAACTCGTCACCCTTTGAGTCCTCAGGCAACTCAGATTCCCACAAGGTCAATCTAAAATCAAAACCGAATTGGGACCGGACCGGGTCAAACTGGAGCGGATGATCAAGACCGGACTGTTATCAATCCAATCTATAGTCCTCAATTATATTCTCGAAAAAATCAAACTGAAACGGGATCATTTCGGGTCAATTTAACCGGACCGTATAGCCTCCCTAGTCCTACATGGTTTGAATATGTGGATGTCATCTCCTAGCCGACAATTAATAGGATTCTTGTGCAGACATAATCTGAAAACGAAACTGGAATGAATAAAGGAAATCTAAGATACATAATGATTAGCATGCGTAAAAGCTCCCCTTTTCCATATTCGAAATTAAAAATCTCAAGTAGGACAATTAAATAATTGTCGGCACTTTCCCCGTTAAATGAGTGAAAGAGTTAGCTCAGCTCAGCTCAGCTGGTACCACCACCAAACTCGACATGCCCACGACCCTACAGCTTGGCTTCTACTATTAAATATCACCCACAAAAGTTAATCATCAGCCCTACATTATTTATGAAAAAGGCATTCATGAATGTCATCATTTTTCTTATTTTTCCCACGAATAATTCGAATAACTTTATAAAAAAAAATATAATTATACGACAAAGTTTCAATAACGATCGGACAGTACTAAAAAGTCATAGCAAAACCCGGTGGCTACTTGTACTTAAAATAAAAAAAACACAAGTAATTATATTTCCTCCCAAACAAATAAATAAATTACGTGTAACGACGTACGTACCTCGGAGCCTCTCAGCTTCCTGTAAAGCTGAATGAGGCGGCCGTTGAGGTGCACGGCGACGGAGGATCTCTTCTTCTGGATGAGCTTCTGGGTCGCCTTGAGAAACTCCAACGAACGGCGTGCCATCGTCGACTCCTGCCGGGCGCCGTTGTTATCATCGTAATTACCTGTTGCGCCGCCGACCATGAGCTTGGGCAGTCCGACATGGAGAAAGGCGAAGTGGTTCCCCCAGGGAGATTCGGTGGCCTTGCTCATCATCATGTCGTGGACGGAGTTGTAGCTGCGGAGCATCCTGGTGTTCAAAACGACGATGGATGTGGTCTCCGCCTCCTCCGAACCCGGTTCCATTTCCTTCATGTACATTCGCGTCCCCAAGAACACGGTCCCTGTCACCACGTCGTTCACTGTCTGAACATGTACATTAATTTATTAATTACCAGCATCCATTATATTATTACCACTGTTCCTTTATGAAGTTGAAAGCTACAGGGCATATGAACGGAAGTACGTACTTGATCACACTTTCACATCACATGACACGACATGTAGCTGCTGAACCTATATATAATTTCGATCCCATTAAAAAGTACCATTCGTTCATTCAGGCTAGTTCCATTATTGAGTGGTAACATTTACACCTCGCTAAGTTGGTGGGCGTTGTTCGGATAGGTTAATTGTTAACCGTTGTATTTTTCTACGTCATTTCAATGGTAATTTGTGATGTCATATTGAAAATATCTCATATTATTGAATCGAATATTCTATCTAATATTTCGTATTTAACAAAAAATAGAGTAGAATTTTAGTTACTTTAAAATAACATTGGATATGTATTATTTCAAATAACTCACGTGAAAGTATCTCTTTTAACATTTTTAGCTTTTGTATGTACGGAAAAAGCTCAATTTAATTACCGAAAATACCTAATTTAAGGGCACCTCAACCGACTTAGAAATTATAAGTTATAACAATGTATTAGCACAAGTTTTTTTTTTAAGAGATGGGACTAGTTTTTATCTTGGTGAAGTGATAGGACAGCTCCAAATCAATGTCGGAACAAAAGCAGCTTGAGATTATTATTAAATGCAATGTACGTCGTCGTCTAGAAATATTGACTATTGAACAAAAGAAGAAGAAGAAAAAAAGCGTACCATTCCCAGCTTGCTCTTGATCTGCTTGATTTGATCAAGAGAGAAGGCCATCGTCGCCGCGGAGATCGGCCGGAACCCGACTCCCGTCTCTCCAGAGCGCACGGGCGACAGGTCGTCGGCCAGGAGCTTGGTCTTGGAGAAGCTCGTCCACAAATCCGACACCGTATTGAAAGCCGACGCCAGAGCCCTCGCCACCGCCGCCTTCTTCCCGCCGCCGGCGTCACCCGAGCTGCGGATTCGGATGTCGGGGAACGTCAGGGGAAGGGAAGGATCGTCGGAACGCTTGAAGCAGGAGAGCAGCGCCGCCATCAGGGAGTAGCCGTCGCCGATGGCGTGGTGAATCTTGAAGATCACGTTTCCCGCCGCGTTCGTCGTCGGGTACTTGACGAAGTGAATCTCCCAAAGCGGGCGGTTCCCGAGGAACAGCTCCGCGGATATCTCCGACAGGTAGCTGCTGAAGCGCTCCTCGTAGTATTCCGGCGACCTGTTCTCCGGGAAAATGGCGGTCTTGATGTGGTCCTTGAGGTTCACTTCCACCCTCTTCCACCGTTGCTCCCCGTCCTTTCCCGTCACCTACCGCAAAAGAAAAAGTTATTTTAAACAAGATACAAAAGAAAATAGGTACGTGTACGTGTATTAAACGGAGTAAGGGAATTTACGATGACGGAGGAGAAACGAGGGTGGACGCGGAGGAGGAGGGTGTCGAGGAGGAAAACGAGGCGAGAGTGAGGGATGTTGATCGGTTCTTCAATTTCCAAAACGGCGAGGACGGCCAGTGAAATGGACGAGCTGTTGAAGTAGACGCCGAATGGGCTCACCGGCGGCCGTCGTTGCTCCTCCTCCTCTTCCTCCATCCCTACCATATTTGCCTCACTTTCCGCTTCTCTCGTTTGTATTGATCTACTACTTCTGAATCGAGCTATATATGGACCATTTGCATTGAGTTGCTCGCAAGCTTTTGGACACATATATATATACACACATAAACTAGACAGGAAGCCCGCGCTGGCCGGCGGGGGTTCATAATTATACAACGGTGCATGTAATGATCATTATCTTGGGTCTTGGCTAATTTTATGAGTTTTATGCCGGCAAGTTGGTCCAAAAGTGATTTTTTTTTTTTAATATAATTTAGTTTAGTAACTAATTTATCTTGGTTCATAATTATACAACGGTGCATGTTATGATCATACAAAATTAAATATTGGTATAGTTTAGTAACTAAATACTAAAAGAAAGGTGTGGCGCTTGAACTATGGTAGTGCAGAGTCATTCATGTATGGTGGTATAAAACTGAATGTTATTAATCAATGTAATTAAAATCGCGCTATTAAACTTTAACTTTACGCTTTTATGCTTCTAAGTTACCGAAAATTTTCTACGTACAATCGCGTTTTTTCCTAACTAGTCTAATCAAAATCGTGCTTTCAAGCTTACGTCTTTAAGTTTCACGTTTTGGCCAATAATAGCCACTTTTCAAAAATACATAAAATAATTATTTCCGTCCAATTCTTTAACGGTGTCAATTAACATGTTGAATGAACTAACGATAATGGATGACGTGGCGATATTTTGTCAAAACATTTCCACGTGAATTTTACTTTAAGAAAAAAAAAAAGCAAAGGCCAATATCTCCATGGCTGCCTCGTTCTACACTTTACTCAATCATTCACGGCCTATCTCTCCAACTGCCATGACCGCTTCTTCCTCCATCTCCAGAACCTTCCTCTTGACTCTCATCCTCCCCAGCATCTGCCACCACAGCCAAAGCCTTCCTCTCATCTCAATCTCCTCCGCCTCCTCACTCTCCTCAATCTTCCCTTATCTTTTTCCCCTTCCTCATCTGCAATCTAACCCTCAAATTGCTGCTGTGAATCCCTTGTCCAAGGAGTTTCAAGTAAAACAAGTTTCATTTTGCTAGATTCCAACAATTTTATTCTCTGGAAGCTGAATCTGAATGGGTCAGTGAAGGGGGAGTTGTGGCAGAGCTTTTCGATTATGCTATGGATACCCTTCTCCTGGATAAGAAATTAGGAGCCGAACTCAGATTTCCTAAATTTTTTGCTAGCAACCGGTCGAGATCCTTGATCACCAAATGGGTCGTCGTCTTCAAGAGGAGTGTGCGCAGATATGAATCGTCCAAGATTTTGGAGATATCAAATCCAAGTCAGATTGATTTTACTCTTGCCGCCCTCAGTTCTATCTCTGCCACTGATTTAGAATCCCGATCGCTGCCTTCTTTATTTGTTCTTCAGGGATTTGGAGTTTTCTCTTTGCACCAACACTCTATGACAATCGTTGTTGCCCTTCAGCTCGTGCTTGAGTATACTTCCAAAGCCGAGGCCAAAGCAGTAGAGGAGATGACATCGGAGAAGGAGATAAAGAGACGGAGAGGGGGCGGCGGCGGCGGATTTGGTGACAGAGAATATTCTGGATCTGAACGAGGAAGGCTTGACGGTGGCAACAGATGCAGGAGAAGAGCTAGTTTTTGGCTATGGCATTCTGGATTTCTCCATGGAGCTTGTGGCTATGGTGGTTCTGCGTTTGGCTTTAGGGTATATGGAATCAGAGAGAGACGTTTGGAGAGAGGATGGAGAAAATGATCAAAAGAGTTAGGTTAATTTAGGGAGCTTTTTTCATGCAACTTTCAAAATTCTAGTTATTTTTTTATTTCCCGAAAAGTTGCTATTATTGTTACAAACGCGAAAGTTTGGCTATACAAATGTATTTTGCATTTATTTTTTAACATATATGAAAATAGAATCATTGTGCAGATCACTTTAGATTTTATTCTTTTGAAATACAAATATCTAAATTCATAGTTGAAATGAAATAAGGGTTAATACCTTAGTTTGGCCCGAACTATAGACAAACTTTCTACTTTAGCTCGTGGTATCGGAAATTGCTATTCTGGCCTAAACTATGTAGCATACTTCCTTATTTGGCCCGAAGGCGGGTTTGAATGTCAAATTAGACGGTCAACCGAGTTGACCGTTAGTCAAAGTCCACCTCACCTGCCACATTAGTTATCAGGGAATAAAAAATTATTTTTTGTTTTAATTTCTTAATTTGTTTACTTTCTAATAATAAAAATGATAAACAAAAAATTAATTAAAGAAGCAAAAAAATTAATTAAAAGAGGTCCCCAAATTATCCCAGCCCCTCCTTTAATTAATTTTTTGGGTGTCTTTAATTAAATTTTTATTTTTTTTATTATTAGAAAGTAAAAAAAATTCAGAAATTCAAAAAAATAATTATTTATTCCCTGATAGCTGACGTGGCAAGTGAGGTGGATCTTGACTAACGGTCAAACCCGCTTCTGGGCCAAATAAGGAAGTATGCTACATAGTTTAGGCCAGGATAGCAATTTCCGATACCACAGGCCAAAGTAGAAAGTTTGTCTATAGTTCGAGCCAAACTAAGGTATAAAGTATAAACCCATGAAATAAATACAGATCTATTGAGAATAGCAAGGGAATTCGAAAGACAGGGAGAGATTGTACTAGGTGGATATTCTAATTGGATTATTGAGAAAGTAAAAAGGAAAAATAATAAAATAAAATTAAACTACTCTTTCAATTTAGATTGTTAGATTCATTGTGATCAAAACCGGTTTGGATCGAAGAAAATCAGACTCGGCCATAATCACAATTCCAACAGTATAAAAATGATACTAAATCTAGCAGGCCGGATGGCAGCCGATTCAGCCGGTTGAAACGATCAACTCGAATCGCCCGGTTTGGTTGCTTTTAAATGTTGAATATTACGGAAACAAATATTGGAGGAAAAATGTGCCCTGATTACTTTTTCCGTCCATATTTTAATTAGCTATAATTAATGTGTTTCGTTAACTTTTAAAGAAATCCTTTGCAATTTATAGAAACCTTTTTTGAATTTAAGGTTTTCCAATGACTACCAGTTGCGTGTTAAAGAAAGAAAGCCCAATTTCATAAATCCTAACATAGAAAGCTAAAAAGGGAAATAAAATAAAAAGAAAAGTAAAAGAGAACATTTACTATACGATATGTTTATATGTATCGTGAAGACATAATTTTTTATTTCAAAATTTTGTATGCAGCTAGTTTTATACCGGTTATTCGGTAAACCTTAAATTACTCACTAATTCGAGTTGTTGTCCGATCCGATTTTGATAACAACACTTTGATCTTTTTTTTAAAATATAATTGTATATTGATACCAAAACATAGATAGTTACATCCTGAAAACCAGCCAGGCCCGAAAATCGAAGAAACGACTCATAGTCGGGTACAAAGAGAGGGCTTTTCTAGCCACCAAATGGGCTACCCCATTACTACGCCGACCTACAAATCGAACAATAAACCCACGGTTGCTACCAAAAAATTGTAGAATTTCTTCCAAAATGGCACCCATCCGGTTATTGCGAGCATCCTTACAGTTGATTTTATCAATGATCACCTTGGCATCCCCTTTGAATATCATCCCCGTGAAACCATGGCCTAAACACCAAGCAATAGCCTCACGGAGCACAAGCAGCTCCACCACAGCTGGGTCATCAATCCCCTGGAACTGAATTCCTCTAGCCATAAGAACATCCCCAGTCGGAGACAGAAGAACCATGCCACCTGCTGAATGTGATCCCATCCTGGTAGCCCCGTCCCATTGACAAGCAACCCCAGCAGCCTGTCCCGACACTCCTGGTTGTCGAACCACTGGGAGAGAAGGCTTGGGGGGGCACATCCGTCGGCAACCCCACCCATTCCTCATACTGCTGGGAAAATTGACGCATCAACGCAGGGAACCCAAACTGCTTTCCTTCTAAGACTACCCAATTTCTAGACCTCCAGATGCTCCAAAGGATGGAGACAACTGCCATAAGGAGCGTCGGTTGCTGATTTAAAGCCATTAAAAGCTTAAGAAATAGAGGGAAAGTATGCCGAGGCAACCCCTCCCCTAAGTATTCTAACCCCGAATTCCCCCAAAGAGCAAGCACAACAGGACAATCCAGAAACAGATGCTCCATGGTTTTCGGGCCACCCCAACAGACCGGACAACGAGGAAGGATAGGGACCTTTCTATCAATGAGGGCCTCCGTGGTGGGGAGGATGGGATTCAGAATTTGCCAAACAAAGACCTTCAGCTTAGGGGGAATATTCGCCTCCCACAAACGAATCTAACTGGACCTATCCATCTAACTAGCCGACGTTTTCCACCGACCCTTTCTATTATCAAGGGAGACGGCCAAGTGGTAGGCTGACTTGACCGAGAACACCCCGTCCGAAGTATCATGCCATATCAGTTTATCCTCCAGGTTCTGCCAGGGTAGGGGAATAGTTTTAATAATAAGGAAAGTAGGTGGATCAAACAACTGACTGAGTTTGAGATCACACCAACGCCCCTCCCCTTGAAAAATTACATGAGCCACAGTAGGATCACCCCCCCCCCCCTCCGGTAGAACCACCGGATTATACTTCGGAGGGTCAAGCTGCAGCTGAGGAATCCAGGGGAGACCGAAACAGAGACGTCGATCGCCCATTCCCAATTTGCTATCTGAGTCTCATCTCCAATAATTCCCGACCATAAGATGCTTTGCCAACCCCAAAATGGGAGAGACCTAGCTTTAGCATTGAGGAAGTGCCCAGAGGGGAAGTACTTGCCCTTATAGACTTGGGCCAGAAGAGACTGAGGCTCAACCAGGATACACCATCAAATTTTGGCTAAAAGAGCTTGATTGAAATGCTCAAACCGGCGGAAGCCCATTCCCCCCTCATGCTTACTCCTACACATGTCCCGCCAGGCCATCCACTTGATTCTCGAGTGTCCCTCCTCATCACCCCACCAGAAGCGAGCTACATGTTTGTCCAATAGGCGACACAACGAGAGAGGAAGCTTGAAACAGGACATCACATGCAACGCTAAAGCCAAGGCAATAGATTTAATCAGGGTCTCCTTCGCTTCCGAAGACAAAGTCCTCAGTTTCCATCCCTGTAACCTCTCCAACAAATTTTCCTCTAAATAGCGGAAAATCTCCATTTTAGAACGAGCAATCAAAGTGGAGAGCCCCAGATACTTATCATGCACCCCTACTGCTCCAACTCCCATTATCGTAGCTAAGAATTCTTGATCCGGCAGAGCAATATTCTTTCTGAAACAGACCGCTGATTTAGCCAAATTGACGCGTTGCCCACTAAGTTCCTCGTATTCGTTCAGTACCGTAATCAAATTCTCACATTCCTGAAGCGTGCCCCGCAGGAACAGATAAGAATCATCGGCAAAAATTAAATGCGAGATTCGGGGGGCACGCGGAGCCACCTTAACCCCTGCCAGCCGCTTATCCGCGATCGCCTTACACAAGAGTGACGCAAACCCCTCTGTGCAGAGTACAAATAGAAGAGGGGATACAGTTTCTCCTTGCCGTAAGCCCCGTGATGGCCTGAAGAACCCTGACGGAGTACCATTCATCAGTACAGAAAAAGACGAAGATCGGAGGCATTCATGTATCCAACCCTGCAAAACTGAGCTAAACCCCTCTTGTCCAAAACCGCAAGTAGAAATGGCCATTCGACTCAATCACATGCATTTTCCATGTCAACCTTAAGATCCATGTACCCCTTCTTACCTTGCTTTTTGATTTTCAAGTAATGCATTAACTCATGCCCAAGGAGGATATTCTCAACAATTTGGCGATCCCGAATGAATGAATTTTGGCCTGCCGAGATGATATGAGGTAAGAGGCACGATTATCGTTCAGCCATGATCTTGGTTATAATTTTATACACAAATTGGCATAAACTGATTGGGCGCAACTGCCTCATAGACTCCACATTATCTACTTTGGGGACCAAAGTGAGTCAGGTGTGATTGAAGCTACGGAGCATCCTACTAGTCGTAAAAAATGAGCAGACTGCGTCAACCACCGAATCACCCACAATTCCCCAAAAGGCCTTAAAGAATTTGCCCGTGAAACCATCAGAATCGGGTGCTTGTTTAGATCCCATCACGAAAACAGTTTTACGAACCTCCTCCGGGAGGACAGCAGCTGTCAGGCCATCATTCATTTCCGGATTAACACTACGATCGATAGGCAGAGCATCCACCTGCTCCCCCATATTAAGAACCTGATTTTCGGAAGTGAAAAGATGGCCATAGAAATTGGTAGCAATATCGGCCTTTCCTTTTTCATCAGTAATCCACTCGCCACTCTCATCTCTTAGGCCTGCCACAAAGTTCCGTTTACGACGTGTCCTAGTCACCGTATGGATGTACGACGTGTTTTTATCCCCCTTCTTCAACCATTGAACTCTGGATTTCTGTTGCCAGTAAACTTCTTCCGCCTCCCATTGTCTAGTTAATTCCTTCTTCATGGAAACCCCGCTTTATTTAGATCGGGAAAAGCATACGCTTTTATGAAACCATGTGCTATGGCTCGAATCCGTAGTCAATCCTATTTCCGATAGGAGCAGTTAACAATTGAATCCAATTTTTTTTCCCTTTTTTAAACAAATTGAAATGATTGAAGTTTTTCTATTTGGAATCATCAAAGTCCGCATTGAACCCCTTACAAACTAATGGATGTAAACAAATAGCACGCCCTTCGCCGAATATAAATACCCTGTTTAACTTCGATTCTGATAGCCTGAATGTCTTTCATATCTAGGCAACGGATTGCATCCCAATCAATAGGATGAGTAAGCTTAAGTCGCTCAATTTCGCTCTGGAGAGTTTTGATATTGCGCAGGGAATTAGTGGTTCCTGCTCTACTCCAATCGTAGAGCAACGGATCGCATCCCAATCAATAGGGTGAGTAAGCTTAAGCCGCTCAATTTCGCTCTGGAGAGTTTTGATATTGCGCAGGGAATTAGTGGTTCCTGCTCTACTCCAATCGTATAATAAATGAAGCAGCTTCTTAAGGCGCTCCCGAAGGCGAAACATCGGAGTGCCTTGGACGTCTTCCTGCCAAACATAAGAAACCATAACTTTCACTTCAGGATTATCCGCTCACCGCGCATCAAAAAGGAATAGAGGGCGACTATTTCGAACATAGGGCTTATCAGAGAGGAGGAGCGCCCGATGATCCGATCCCTGATCTGTAAAGTGCTTGGCCAAGGTTTCAAGAAATCAATCAAGCCAAGATTGCGAACAAAGGGCCCTATCCAGTCTCTCTCAAATACAGGGCGCCCCCATACGTTTATTAGTCCAGGTGAATTGGTCCCCCTGAAAACCAGGGTCCAGAAGACCCAAATTCTGAACAAAATTCCGAAGGCTAAGAGCTTGCGCAGCATTCCACTGATTCCCTCCATCCTTCTCACTCTCATGGAGAGTCGTATTAAAATCGCCTAAAATAACATAGGGAATCTATGAAGGAAATAAATAAGAAATTAAAATAAAAAGAAAAAGGAGTTAAGCAAAAAATGTATTAGTGGAAATGGTGTTGACGTGGATGAAGAGGAAGTCTCGAATTTTCAAAGGGTGAAGTGTAAATGGATAAAGTGCTTGTCATATTTTATAGACTAGTCTTGTGCTTGGCCTATTGGCCGATTAATTTTCAGTTATATTTTCTTAAATAATTGATGGCACTACTTGAATTATGTATGTCTTCAATTTTTCTTTATGTTGTTTTATTTCAACTTTTGAAATGTTCGTATCTCTTGTGTGCAGATTTAATGCAGATTTTATCTGACAATCACTGATTATTGGTTAAACTCAATCAAACATGAAGCAATAAGTCAATGATTTTTATTTATTAACGTAGTCAATCCATTTTTTGAGTTGAAGAAAAATATTGTCAATCCAGAAATATGACTCTTGCCTAAATGAAGTTGAAATTATATTGAAAATTTCCAACATTTAACACAGAAACAAATAATTATGTTTATGTTTGAGTATCCATGTCTGAATGGAGGTGTCTAAATCTTAGAGTATAGGATAATATATGAAGGTTTTTCAAACTGACTTATTTCTTTATCTTAGAGCATCTCCATTGGAATTGTAATTAGAATTGCATTATGACATGACATTAATTTACAATTGCATTATGCAATTGCATTGATGTAGATGACAATTGCATCTTTGCAAGCTTGCATATAATGCAATTATGGAATGCAAGCCGCATCATCTTTTTTATTATTAAATTATTCATTAATTTTATTATTTGAGTGTTTATGTTTTAATAAATTAAATAAAAAAATTAGTTGCAATTGCAGGTTAATTGCATTGATGTGGTGCAATGCAAGTAAGATGAGTTGGATTGCAAAAAACTGAAGTAACAATAAAAAAAATGCAATTGCACCAATGGAGATGCTCTTATATAATAATACACATCAATCTGTCATTTCAATACTTGATCTAACCATGAAACAATTATATAATTAGCGTCTAGGATTACAAAGTGATCAATTTTCTTAGTGAAGGTAATTGGTCACTTTGTAATCATAGACCCTAATTCTCTAAACCTTAAACCATAATTTTTAGGTTGAAGCTATTCATGTAGAGGTGACCTTCGATTGAACCTGAACTCAAATGAGCGAATTTTAGACCCTAATTGTGTAAACCTTAAATCAGAAGATCAAATTCACCAAGGGGTCGTTTGGATGGTGAATTTCTTAAATGAAGCAATTTAAACTCAATTGCCTCACAATTTCCTCATTTCACAATTGTGTTGTCAACTCATATTGATTTAAAATCAAGAAATTCAAATTGAGTCAGCCTAATTGTTGCCTTCCTAATTTATGTTGTTAGACAAGCATATTTGACTTAATTACTTCATTTTGAGGAAATTAAGCCAAATTGCCTCATTGAAATATTGTAACCCAAAACTCGTCGATAGTACCATAGAATTTCCTTGTACATATACACCACTTGTTAATTTTAAAAATTGGTCAATGACATTTAGTATCTCACTTCTATGCTTATGATTCCCAAATCTCAACCCTTATTGCAATTATTAGTCTGGGTTTTTCATTTCTAACATTGAGATGTTTCCTTGCAAAACCATAGCATTTTCTTATACTCATAGAATTATTTACATCATAGTTAGACCATCGACTGTCAAATGTTTTATTTTGAAATAAAATTTTATATACTACTTTAAATAATAGTTTATGTATTCCCACAAAGAGATGTAAACTAATCAATTTATAAGCTGATATACATTACTTAAACTCTAAATCACTAAAGCTATAATTATTTGATTCTTGATGAAGTTCTTTGTGATTATAAAACTCAATTAGTTAATTTATAGAGCTAGGTATATCACGATTAACTGTTTGATAAAACCTAAAAATTTACTGATTATTTGGAACGCAAACTATAGCAGTGGATAAGTCCTCTAATTTTAAGATGTTACCTTATTTTATAACTTTAATTGAAAAAATACAAAAAATCAGTTGCAGTCTAGTTGGTTAGGAATCTTGGCTACTGCTTGAAAAACAAGGATTCAAGAGGGAGTTTAGAGGGTAATGAATTTTGAAATGTAGAAAAATAGATAAACTTCTACTATATATATTATTGGAGGACTTGGTCAAGATTTTCAAAAGGGGACTCCGTAGGGAGTCTAGAGGGTTGTGACAATCATATATTTTTCCCGTATAAGCATATCACAAATTTCTACTTCCAAAGTCATGTAAATTCCTAAGACTCTATTTACATATGACGCGGTGGCGGATCTAGCTAGGGAGAGGCGTCTCCGGGTCATAACTCAATTCCTTTTTTAGTTCAGAGCTACTGTAGCACTTATAAATTTGTCAATTTTAAGTATTCGGTCCAGTACTAATGGGTTATGGTCGAGCCCTCTCCACCTCTTTTCAAATGCGATCCAATACTCTACTATATACTGAATACACCGCTGATTATGGCATCTTCTTGTTCGAAAGACGTCAACTAACCATCTAAGCTAACTCTTAAGCTGATATTTATAGTAACTGAAGCACTTTATGATGCTCGAACCTGGTGGTTGGTGTACTTGCAAATCCTTGCAGCAAACCATGGGATTGAAGTTACGCCAATGTCACCAGGGATTGGAGTGGGATTGGAGTAGTTTGATGCAGGTATATAATTTTCCGTCACAACTCAGGGTACATAAATTTTTCATCTAATGGTAAAGGTTTTCGTTTCTACTTTCTACTGGAAATATTCTTAGATCTCTCCTTCTATTATGATTATCTTCATGCTATCAATCCGAGTGGTTGCTTTCTCGATCATTTAGTTCCTCTCATGATATCCAATTTGTCCCATGTGTAGATATTTTGGTATAGAATTAACCCAAATAGAACACATCAAATCATAAACAATGGGTTATCGTATAGAAGCAAGGGAATCAACAAAGAAGTGGTTAAGTACTGTGTAAATTCGCAACTTATGATTCGATTCCAACACTCTAGTCCATTGTCACACCTAGATAATGCGACTATGAGAAAAATGTATCTAGGTTTCAATATGGTCTCTGAAAAGTTGTGGAATAGTGAAATTGATAGGAAAATATGGCTTAGTGTTGATCTTATTGGCCATTTAAATATTGCTGATATTGGACAAATATCCCACGATATGGATTAAAGTACAGTTGGAGATATGGGCTTAAGCCCCAACCAAATACAAATATTAGTGAACAGTAATTTGCTTCTTCAAAACATATTTTCGTATAATATTTTACATTAAAAATTTAATTTGAGCTATTAAAATGTAAAATTTAAATTATAATTACTAATCTGTAATTTTTCATTTGTTGTTAGTGAATAGTAACCAAACTTCTTCTTTATATAAATAACAGTAATTTGCTTCTTCAAAACATATTTTCGTATAATATTTTACATTAAAAATTTAATTTGAGCTATTAAAATGTAAAATTTAAATTATAATTACTAATCTGTAATTTTTCATTTGTTGTTAGTGAATAGTAACCAAACTTCTTCTTTATATAAATATTAGTGAACCGTAAATATGCTTCTTCAAAACATATTTTCCAATAATATTTTACATTAAAAATTAAATTTGGGGTATCAAAATGTAAAATATAAATTATAGTTACTAAACTGTAATTTTCAATATGTTGTTAGCGAACCGTAACCAAACTTCTTCTTTATATATTAATTAATGTAGTACGTGTAACAGTGTGGTATAAGATTCACAATAACTTTCTCCGAACAACTCGAGTTATTGGGATCAACTTGTTTACGACATGGTATCAGAGCTGAACTCTGATCTCCTTAACCTAATCAAACTCTTATATTCCCTTCTCCGATTTCTCTTTCTTTCTTTCTTTCTTTCTTTCTTTCTTTCTTTCATTTTCTTCTTCCACCCACGTAACGTCTCTTTTTTCCCAACGAAAATCACCATGTTTACCAACTCCGGTGAGTCAGTTCTCAATCTCGATAACGCCAACACCATCATTACGTTGAACCATGCGTCACAGCTCCCTACTAAGCTTACTGGTGACAATTTCCCAACCTGGTGGGCACAACTCTTCACTGTACTCTATGGTCTAGATCTCCTCAAATTCTTGGATGGAAGTCAACTTGAACTAGCTGCTACAGCTCCTGTCGCCGAGCGCTGCCACAGCTCCTGTCGCCAAGCGCTGCCACTTGTACAGGCAAGACCAACTCCTTCTTCATTCCATTCTTGCCTCTATCTCTCCTGATGTCTCTCCATATGTCTCAGCAACTCTCTTCTCTCGTCAAGCCTGGACGATATTGGAGAGAATGTTTGCAGTTAATCCCATCAGTGGATTATCAATCTCTAGGAGAAGCTCCTTCGTGAGACTCAAGGGTGTCGGCCGGTCTCCGTTTATCTCCAGGCACAACGTCCCACTGTTGTTGAATTAGTGCATGTCAATTCTTCGGTTGCGGCTGAAGACTTAATTCTCCATGTTCTACGAGGGTTCCAAGAAGAGTATGGCCAGATTGTGCCGGCCATTCAAGCCCGCGACACCATAATTGCACTCGAAGATCTCTATGATCGTCTTGTTGATTATGAGGCTGACCTTGCTACTGTTCGCGAGCCCAATTCTTTGGCTCCCACCATCGCTTTTTCCTCAGCTCGTGGTCTCCCAACTCATTCTGCTGCCTTCCGCTACTCTGGTTGTTTCCGTCGTCCATCAGTCACTGCTGGCTATGATAACTTATCCAGGCATGACTCTAGTCCACGCCAGCTCCGCGACCACTACTCTGAAAACCCCTCCTCACCCTTTCTTCTCGGTCGTCCTCAGCTTTTTTGCCAATTCTGTGACAAAACCGGCCAACCGCAAAGGAGTGTTATCAGATTCGAGAACACCCTCAGGCTCACCACATAGCCGCTACCTCTTCCTCCGCATGCTGGATCGTTGACTCTGCTGCAAAAAATCATATGACTTCAGACCTCGTCAATCTCTCTCTTTAAACCGACTACAATGGCTCAGATGAGGTTCTTATTAGTGACGGATCATGTCTACATATTACACATGTTGGCCACTCTTATTTGTCTCATATTGGGGTCACGTTTATCTCTTTAAGATGTATATGTGTGCCTACTATCAAACACCGCTTACTCTCTGTTGCTCAACTGTGTAAATCTAATCCGGTTTTTGTGGAATTATATTCTGATTCTTTTCTTGTGAAGGATCTAGCCACAAGGGTGTGCCTACTACGAGGCCCGAATAAAGGTGATGTCTATGAGTTGCCGGCGGATTCTCCCTCTGTTCGTCTTGCTTTAACCGTTGTGACAGGAATCTCTTCTGCGGTTTGGCACAACCGATTGGAACGTCCTCATAACAAGCTACTCTTTCTCTAGTGATGCGTAATCAATCTCTTCATGTCACATCTTTTTCTTCTTATTCCTCATGTGATTCTTGCTCTCTTGATAAAATTCGCAAGCTACCTTTCTCCGTTTACAGTCTCACTAGTTCTTGTCCATTTGATTTCTTATCACATCAACCGTCTTCCCTCCAAGGTACCTGTATGTTTTATGCATTTGTCAATGAAAACCCAAACTATCTCAAATTGTGTGTGTTTGGTTTCCTTTGCTATCCTTCGCTATGCCCCTACTCTGCCCACAAATTAGAACCCCGCTCTCGGCGTAACATTTTTCAGGGTTACTCACCTCACCCAGAGTGCTTATCAATGATACGATCCCACTACCCATCGCATCTTCACCTCTCGCCATGTTCAATTCAATGAAGAAATCTTTCCCGACATCTCCTCACCCTTGGATCCTTCTTATGATTAGCCGTCCTATGTACCATTACCACTCTGCCGGTCAATGTGTACTCCTTTTCTCCTCTCCCTAGAACCTCCCCCGCTTATCCTCAATATTCCCTACCCTCGCCATGCACTCTGGCTCGTAGTCATCACCTTTCATTGCCTTCGGCTGTGCTCCCAAATGCTTCCTCCTCCCAACAGAATTAGGTGCCTCTACCACCGGCCAAACCTGGACGTCGGCCTGTCACCCGCAACAAACGCGATATATTTTATCCCTAAAAGTTATTTCTTACACAGGTTACTTCTTTGGATGTTTGGCCACCTCTATCAAGCAGGCTCTCGCTGATACACGGTGGAATGCGGCCATGCGAGCAGATTTTCATGCTCTCATGTCCAATCACTCATGGTTTCTTGTTCCTAGACCTCTTGCATTCCATATTGTTGGTTGTAGGTGGATCTTTCGTATTAAACGCCATCCAGATGGCTCGATTGATCTGTTCAAAGCCCGATTGGTGGACAAGGGTTTCTCTCAACGCCCGGGCATCAACTTGGATGATACATATAGCCTAGTTCTCAAGCCCGTCACCATCCGCACAGTGTTTCCTATTGCTCTATCTCATCAATGGTCGATCATGCAGTTTGATGTAAATAATGCCTTTTTCAAGGTTCCCTGCAGGAAATAATTTATATGACACAAGCTCTGGCTTGCGTGATCTCGATCATCCTGACCATGTATGTTGTCTATCTCGGCCTATCTATGTGCTCGTCAATTATAAGAGAGTGTTATAAGATCTACAAGAACCTTCTCCCAACAACTCGAGTTATTGGGATCAACTGGTTGTTTAGATGGTATGAGTGATATGATCCCAAATTGCCGACCATTCACGTCACAATTACTTGACAAAGAAGCTATCGAAGTTGGGAAGAAGAAGGGCAGAATTTGGTTAAGTCAAAATCCGTGTTCAGGGTACATACTTTGGAGGCATAGTTCTCTCAATTGGCTTGGTATAAATTCAAGTTTAATGGCTTGTTTTAAAGATAACGTTTCCATGTTTCCAATGGTATGCTTTGAGGATCCAGAAGATGTCATTAAGGTTGTTTACCAAGGCCTCAAATTTGCTACCTCAAAACTGGAAAACTGCCAGAAAATGGCTAAGGCAGAAAACTGTTTTGTGAAGGCTACTTTAGAGCTCAGTTCAAGGAGCATGGATCTGATTCGAGACCAAAGGCTTCTACAACATGAAACTAGGTATGTTTGTGAACAAAGGAAAGGAATTGGATGAAGAATTGGAGTTCGGGAAGGCCTCGAACGAAAGGCGTGAAGTTAGTACGAAAGCTGCCTTTTGACTGTTTTGCGGGCAGCTTACTTGTGCTTCAAGAAAGGAAGTTTGTGTCCGAATTTTGTAACCTTTTTAGAGTCGAATTTTACCTTATTTGTTTCCTTGTTCATCTAGGTTTGTATTAGGTTTTCTTGGCTATAAATAGCCTTCTATTTTCGTTGTAAAAAGGAAGACTTTGTTGAATAGAAATCGAAACAGTTTGGTTTGTGCAAGTTGCGACTTGTTTTGGGTTTGGTGGATTCCAAACTTGCTGAGCTTGTGTATCGATTGAATAGTCACTTCAATCGTGGTCGAGCAACTACCCTTTTATACCAATCGAGCTATCCCCAGGTGTGGATTTGTCTTTTTGGTTCCGTTTTATCCAAGTTCGTATTAAGAACGCTTCGTTCTTGATTCGAGCTCAATCGGTTCTTCGATTGAGTCGTTAGCTGCGTGACTTTGATAACATACACCCCCCAGGGGCGTATTAATGAGAGCCCGGTTTGGCCAACTGATCATGTGTTCGAATCTCCACGACCCCCAATATTAACATTTGATTAAAGCATGAGGTATGGTGAGCATGTGCAAACTTCAAACTCGTAAGTTGGCTTTCGTTTGAGGGGCGTGTAAGACAGTAAGAGAGTACTATAAGATCCATAATAACCTTCTCCCAACAACTCGAGTTATTGGAATCAACGGGTTATTAATAGTATCTACCGTGTGGAATTATGATTTCTTCTTACTAAATTATTTTGGCGACCTAATAGGACATGATCATAAACCATGAATTGTTTTTCCTCTTCGTATTTGTTATATATAACAAAGGAGATATTTGTGCTTGGCTCAAATTGATCATGTGCTATTAGGTAGCTTTAGCTTTTTGCCTATACGGTATAATTTAAAGTTGTACTTTAACGTTATGTTACAATTTCAGGTTGTGCATGTCTATATTCTTCTATATAAATTACTTTATGGTACAAATTAAAATTGTACCATAACCAGGGCATGCCAATCATATTCAGAGGCTCTGTTCAAACCAATGTTGTCAGAACCGAACCGGCGCATGACCCGGTAATGCGAACGGCTCGCACTTTAGTGGTCCAACCGGCATTAGACCATTTAAAAATTGTTAGAGAACCGGTACCTAATAAACGTTATCAGTATAAAAAGTGGACATTTCTTAATCAGAGCTCATCTCTTTCCTTCGAAATTGTGAAATGGAAATAAGGATTCAGTTTGAGAGCCCGACTTTTTTGGTTTATTTCAATTTTCGATCTTCTGCAATTTTTTTAATTAAATTTAGTGGTTGAATGGCAAAACCAGACGAGCGGCTCGATGGGCTCGAACGGTTAACCGCCTCAGCCGCTCGCCAACCGCTACATAAAACCGGAGCGACTTTTAGACTGTTTCGAGTCGGTTTTGTGACCGGGTGGTAATTTTACTGGTCGGGCCGAACGGCTCGGCTCGGCTTTAATAACACTAGTTCAAACATTTAGATAGTAGGGATGAACATTTGAGAAGTTTAGAAAATCTGGAGAAGTTGAATTATTAATTAGGAATTAACTAGAATTGGTTGTGAAGATTCACGTTGAATTATTATGGGAAGTTGAGAAAATCCTGGTAATAATGGGCTCAAGATAGGGTGCATAACCATGGGTTATGCACCCATCCATAACTAAATATGGACCTATAATTTAGAAAATCCAGATCTAAGGATGGATAATTAAAGACTATTTTTATTTTCCCTAGCTTTTTTAATCGGCTCATATCTTTTTCGTTTTAACTCGAATTTTAATTTTTTTTGCACAGATAGAACGATTTCATCTTGCTCTACAAAATGAGATCAATTTTCAATATTTTTTTAGAAAAAAAAATTCTGGCCTCTCGGTACCAACTGCATACCATATGGTATTTTCTTCGTTTTTAATTCGTTTTTGAAAACGTTTGCACAGAAGGGACGAGTTCATCATAATCTATTGGATCTACAAATATCTGGGTGAACAAATTACATGACCAAAAAATACCACACAATACCATACAATACCACCCTGGTACGGGGTGGTATATTATGGTATATTATGGTATTTTCTTCGTTTTTAATTCGTTGTTAAAAACGTTTGCACAGAAGGGAGGAGTTCATCATGATC